GTTTGTTTGTTTGTGTGTGTGTGTGTGTGTGTGTGTGTGTGTGTGTGTGTGTGTGTGTGTGTGTCTGTGAGTGAGTGATTGGTGAGCATATACATTTCATTTGTGCTCTAGTACCAGGCCTTCATTTCTGTGTGGAAATGTTCAGATTTCAGATTTATTTATTTATTTTTGACAAATAAAAAAAAAAAAAACTTTTTTTTCACATTTCCCATTCATTTCAATGTGGGGTCATATTGACCCCAAGGGACAGATTTGTAAAAAATTTTTTTACATACCTTCAGAACAACCGAATCAAACCCAGTTTTTTTTTAATGTGAATATTGATATAAAATGTGGAAAAGTCACAAAATCTTATTCCACTGAGATGAAGGGAACCATTTTTTTAAACTAAGTAAAAGTTGATTGGGGTCATATTGACCCCAAGGGCCGATTGAGGGTTAAGAAGAGCGAGGAGAGCGGATGAGCATGTTTTTTAGTGTCTGTTTAGGTCACAAACAGCGAGGATGAGGGGGCATTTATTCTATAGGGAGAGGGATATCGTTCATGTTTGTTTAAGGCCGCTGATGATGAAGGTTGTGTGTGTGTAGATAGGGACAGGGTGGTAGGAGTGCTGCCATTCCTCAGTCTGATGACATTATCGTAATGTGGGGACCTGTAAGTGTAAAGCTAATGTACATTGCCCTCTTCCGAATCAGATGTTTACATAAAACTAATATAGCATTCAGACCTCTAAATGATCTACTGGCTTTTCACCACTTCCGAATTGGATGTGTTCATGAAATTGAGAAGTTCATACCTTTAATATGATGTGAAACTATAAATAATGTGTTGTTTATTTTATTTATTTATTTTTGGTCTCTGGCTTTAAAAGGGGTCATGAACTGAGAAATCAAAAGTCCCTTGATCTTTTGATATATAACAGGTCATTGTACTATAAAAACATCCTGTAAGTTTCAGAACTCAAAACTTTATTTTATTTTATTTTATTTTATTTTCGTCTAAAAACAGCTTATATTGAAGTCACACTAGACTTTAAGCATGCAAAATGTCTATGGACATTGCAACATTATTTTATTTTATTTTATTTTATTTTCGTCTAAAAACAGCTTATATTGAAGCCACACTAGACTTTAAGCATGCAAAATGTCTATGGACATTGCAACATTTGTAATATGGTGTCACACTCTGTGGCATCTTTTTAAAAACAATTCAACATATAATACATATAAAATGTAAAAATATGCAGTCTGCTCCATTTTGGAAAATAAATTTATAACACAGTTTCACTGTTCTGTGGTTTGTATGTGAACACATACATGGATATAATGATGCATGGAAAAGAAACTGTCAGATGTCTTAGTGAGTTTGATTCATAAATTGATAGTTCTTGTTTATTATATGAATGAATGAGCAGTTAAGAAATTTACTTTTGGTACTCAAGTACTTTTCAAAGCAAGTAATTCTGTACTTTTACTTAAGTAAAATTCTGTCTTTGCACCTTTTACTTGTAATGGAGTAATATTTAACCAGCAGTGTCTGTACTTTCACTCAAGTAATGGAGTTGAGTACTTTGTCCGCCTCTGTTAGTTTTTGCCCCCATTTTTCATGAGCTGAACTCAAAGATCTAAGACTTTTTCTATGTACACAAAAGGCCTATTTCTCTCAAATATTGTTCACAGAGTGGCCTTTTATTTTGGCCAGCCTAAGGCACACCTGTGCAATAATCATGCTGTCTAATCAGCATCTTGATATGCCACACCTGTGAGGTGGATGGATTATCTCGGCAAAGGAGAAGTGCTCACTAACACAGATTTAGACAGATTTGTGAACAATATTTGAGAGAAATAGGCCTTTTGTGTACATAGAAAAAGTCTTAGATCTTTGAGTACAGCTCATGAAAAATGGGGGCAAAAACAAAAGTGTTGCGTTTATAATTTTGTTCAGTGTATAACCAATACCAATATGTTATTAGATGATGTGATTATTTTGGTTATTTTATAATGAACTTCTAAACATTTATTCTGAGTGTAGCAAATGTAAACATGTATGTCTGAACTAGCTGATGTCCTGTAGGTTTGCTGTAACCCAGTTTTCTTCCAGGTGAGTCTATAATAATGGCAAAAGAAAATGAAATTCCTGACTGGGCAGGAGCACAGGACTTCTATGAGAAGTATGATCCAAAGGAGATCCTTGGAAGGTATTGTCATATTGTGCACTATTGTTTTAGTGAAGACCAAAAAATGTTCAGGTTATATTTCACCCCAATTTCTGTAATATTTAATTTAATTTAATTTAATTTATTTTTCATAGTG